CATAATAAATATATAATAATATATATATTCTTATAAAAAAGGTATTTAAAATTTCAAGCTACTTTTTGTCATTAATTTTAAAATTTTCAAAAAAAAAAAAATTAGCAAACACCCGTGTAATACACGGGCGTTGTACTAGTTAATTGTACATCTTTATATTACATTATAAATAATTACATTTTTTTATTAATATTATATTTAACTATATTTTTTTTATTTCCTACTTTTTCTAAAAAAAAAAAATTTGCTTAGTTATAATAATGCATATTAACATACATATGAGTAATAGTAAATATATCGTTGTTTGTATGATCTTGGATTTATTTATGCAGAAATATGAAAAAAAAAACTTTTTGGTATATGTGTGGAAAAAAAACAAATTCGTGAGGAATAATGATGCGAGAATATCGTGGTTGATTTTTATAACATGCGAAATAATTTGTTTGTGTATTTTTAAATTAATTAAATATTACATACTAGTTAAAATATGAGATAAGATGAATATTAGTGTATTATAGTTTGTCATTAAAAATACGATTAGGTAAGAGCTTTTTAGGTAGTTTATTATTTACAATGTATCTATATTTAATTAATTAAATATTAATTATTCATTAAAAATATAAGATGTAATGAGTATTAAATTACTAATTTTTCATTAAAAATATGTCAAAGTAAGATTATTTTAGGTAGTTCATTTTTTTACTAAAACACTCGTCATGTCCTTGTGGAAGAGTATAGTCATGTCCTTGTAGAAGAGTATAGTATAGTATATAGTAAATAGTTATTGAGATAGATGTAGATTTCTTTTTCCCATCTTATTATATGTTGCCTTTAACTTCTAAATTGCATCGGACAATTGGACGCCGGGCAAACAAGGAAATCCAAAAAGCCAGTAACCTCAGAAATTGGTGAGAAACCAATTCATAGCTCATAATGAATCAGCTCAAGAAATCAACTCACATCATTCTGATTTTTGAATCGAGAAACTTCTGCAACCATGACACCAGACATACAATATTTTGCAGTGTTCTATATTAATTCGACTTTGATATGTAGTCGCAACAGTTCCTTTCAACATGAATCTACTCATCAGCGATCTATATATTCATTTTACAAATGGGACCACGATTAAAGATGTTATCGACAGAATAGGATCGAATAACATTAGCTCTTTTTCCAACAAAGGCCGAAAAAAAAAAAAAAACAAAACTACACGTATTAGTTCAAAAAACACTGCACAAAGCAAGAGTTTGATACTTTTCGAACAGATAATCGCCAAGTAACTGCTGGAACTTCCAGTTCAATTGCAGACACACACTCTTTTCGGCTTAAACCTGATATCAGGGAAAGAAACAAAAGGGATAATTAATTAAAAATGAACAAAAAATAACAACATTGCGAATGACTGGATTGGAACCAAATAACAAAAGTGAAGAAAATGCATTGATAACTCATTTGAATCTACCTTAAACAGCCATGCTAGTCCAGTGTCAAAAGGAAAAGATAAAGAGTGCTATTGGACTAACCTATTGTTCACCAGTATTGTGGAGCACAAGTCATCAACTCCGTACTCTTGTCACTAAAGCCAGCAAGCATGGGAAGAAATGGATGACAAACAAGTGAGTTAAAGCCCGACTTTGATACAACTTCAGCAATAGGTTCACTCTCTCCTTTCCTCCAGAAGTTTATTTCCCCGGAATCCCATAGACGACAGACGTAACCGCAATTGGGTCCATAAAAGCATATACTACTTGGCTGCTTATTCATCCTCTGCATGAGGTAACTTACCATTTGTCCACTTGAATAATGGCCATCCTTGTAAAAAAGATACATATCCTTACGATAAAACGAGACCAAGAGCTCCCCGTGGACCGAAAACTTCAATGTTTCAACTCTATCGCTATCGCCAATGACATCAGGACGCAACTTTGTGAAAGGTGATCTAGCCATTCGGGTATCATAGATACGAGCATAGCTGTCTTCCATAGCAACAGCAACTAAGTTGTCATGTACTGCAAGTTCAGTAATATAATGTTGAGTTTTCTTAATAAGTTGCACATGCGGGTCCC